TATCCCTCCTCAATTTTTAGAAATAATTTAAGTAGGATTGGTATTAGTTCTTCTTTGAATACTCGGTAGGATACACCAGTGAAGCCATCAGGTCCTGGGCTTTTCTTCGATGGGATACTGTTTTATTACTGCTTCTATCTTGTTACTTGTTTTATGTCTATTTAGGTTTTGGATTTCCTCCTAGTTCAATCTTAGTAGGTTGTATGTGCCTAGGAATTTATTAATTTCTTCTAGGTTTTCCCATTTACAGGCATATAGTTGCTCATAGTACTCTCTAATGATCCTTTGGGGTTCTGCTGTATTAGTTGTAATGTCTCCTTTTTCATCTCTGATTTTACATATTAAATATTTGGGTTTTCTCTCTTTTTTCCTAGTTAGTCTGGCTAAAGGTGTGTCTTTGTTGTTTATCTTTTCAAAAAAGAAACTTTTTGTTTCATTGATCTTTTGTATTGTTTTCTTCATTTCAATTTCTCTTCTTTCGGCTCTGATATTTATTTCTTTTCTTCTACTAATTTTGGGTTTAGTTTGCTTTTGTTTTTCTAATTCTTTAAGATGCATTGTTAGGTTGTTTACTTGAAGCTTTTCTACATTTTTTATGTAGGCACTTATTGCTATAAACTTTCCTCTTACTACTGCTTTTGCTATATCACACAAGTTTTGAATTGTTGCATTTTCATTTTCATTTGTTTCAAGAAATTATTTAATTTCATTCTTAATCTCTTCATTGACTCACTGGACATCCAGGAGCATATTGTTTCATTTCCATGTTTGTATATTTTCCAATGTTCCTCTTTCTATAGATTTCTAGTTTTATTCTATTGTGGTCAGAGAAATAATTGGTATTTCAACTTTTTTTAATTTTTTGAGACTTGTTTTGTGACCTACCATATAGTTTATCCTTGAGAATGATCCATGAGCTGAGGAGAAGAACGTGAATTCTGTAGCTGTTGGATAGAACATTCTGTAAATATGTATTAGGTACATTTGGTCTGTAGTGCAGATTAAGTCCAATGTTTCATTGTTGATTTTCTGTCTGGATGATCTGTCCAATGCTGAAAGTAGCATAATATGATAATATGTGCATTATATACCTGGGTATGCCAGTGTTAGAAGCATATATATTTAGAATTGTTATATCTTCTTGCTGAATTGACTCTTTTATCATTATATAATGATCTTCTTTGTCTCTTTTAACTGTTTTTGTCGTGAAAGCTATTTTATCTGCTACTCCTGCCTTTTTTGGTTTCCATTTGCATGGAATGTTTTTCCATCTCTTTATATTCAGTCTATGTGTGTCTTTATAGGGGAAGTGCGTTTCTTGAAGACAACATATCTCTCTCTTTTTTTGATCCATTCAACCATTCTGTCTTTTGATTAGAGAGTTTAGTTCATTCACATTCAATGTTATTAATAATAGGTAAGGACTTACTACTGCCATGTTGTTATTTGATTTCTGATTATTTTGTGGTCCTCTCTTTTTTTTCTTACTTTCTTTCTATATTCCTTTGTTAAAAGTGATTTTCTCTGTAGTGTGCTTTAATTTCTTGCTTTTTTATTTTTTGTGTATCTGTTGTAGGCTTTTTGATTTGAGGTATTCATGAGGCTTGCAAAAAACATTTTGTAACCAATTAAGCATTTGACAACTATGCTTATAAACAACTGTTTATAAACAAGCAAACAGAGAACACTAACAGAAATTCTACCCTTTAACTCTACCACCCCAGCTTTTTAACCTTTTTTGTTTCCATCCATTTCTTTTTCTAGTATCTATCTCTCAAGAAATCATGTTTTTGACAGGTTTGTCCTTTTAGTCTTCCTACTCAAGATATAATTGGTTTATACCCTGCAATTACAGCAAGAGTATTCTGTATTTGTGTGCTTACTGTCATCAGTGAGTCATATACCTTCAGAAGATTTCTTATTGTTCTTTAACGTCCTTTTCTTTCAGACTGAAGAAGTGCTTCTAGCATTGCTTGTAGGACAGGTCTAGTGTTGGTGAAATCCCTCAGCTTTTGTTTGTCTAGAAAGTTTTTATTTCTCCTTCATGTCTGAAGGATATTTTTTCAGGATATAATGTTCCAGGGTTAAGGATTTTTTCCTTCAGCACTTCAAATATGTTATGCCACTCACTCCTGGCCTGTAAGGTTTCCACTAGAACTCTACTGCCAGATGTATAGCTTTTTATAAGTTATTTTTTTCTTTCTTCTTGCTTCCCTTAGGATCTTTTCATTATCCATGACCTTTGGGAGCTTGATTATTAAATACCTTGAGGTAGCCTTGCTTGGGTTAAATCTGCTTGGTGTTCTATAATCTTATACCTATATACTGACATCTTTCTCTAGGTTTAGAAAGTTCTCTGTTATTATTTCTTTGAATAAACAAATCTCGCTCTCTCTACCTCCTCTTTAAGGCCAATAACTCTTAGATTTGCTCTTTTGAGACTACTTTCTAGATCTTGTTGGTGTGCTTCATTCTTACTTCTTCTTTCTTTTTTCTCTTCTGTGTATTTTCAAATAGCCTGTCTTCGAGTTCATTAATTCTTTTTCCTGTTTCGTTATTTCTGCTGTTGAGAAACTCATGCATTTCTCAGTTTGTTAACTGAATTCCTAAACTCTAGAATTTCTGCTTGATTTTTTTTTTTATTAACAAGGAGTCACTCACCAAGTTACTGCTATTAAGATCCTTCCCCCTCTACCACCAACTGCCCCAACAAGAATAACCAGAGATACATTAGCTCTAAAACAGTCTATCTCTAGGAAATCATAAAAGCAGGTACTGAATATCCTTGTCTCCCAGGTACCCACACAGGAGCTGTTAAAAAAGTCCTGCAGTCAGAATCACAAATGCAATCTGTGTGTAGCCATTTCCACTAACATTTATATTTTGAAAAATAAAGTGCCTTAATTTCTTAGTACTAATAATATCTAAAGTAAATATCTCAAACAGAAAGAAAATAATTACAGTTTCCTTGAGTATCTACAGAACATTTACCTTCACATCCCTTATTCTCTATTAATTTCCAGCGACTTTTTAAGAGAAAGCTCTGAGACGTCATGTCCAGCTCCACTATAACTACTTAAGGCTCAAAGAGATATAGGATGCTTAGAAGCAAAATAGAAAAAATGGGGGAAGTAATAAGTTCCTAAGAGATTCAGAGGATACCAGGAGAAAATTAAGAATGAAAAATAGAAGCATGGAATATTCATTTTGCCTGAAGATATTTCATTAGTGACCAAGAGAAACACCTCTCATCTCAAATAATAACATCTTCCTTGGAAAAGCTTTAATCTTTCTAATACAGTAAAACTTTAGCAAACTGTTTTATGAGTCCTAGAAGGGAAAAATAACCATCAATAGGTGATAATTTACATTACTTTTGATATAGGGGCCAGTCAGGTGGCCTTTCCCTCTCTCACTTTCAAATTTTAAAATAGTGAATTCAGAACATGTTTGCAACTACATTTTAAACTGACTCTGTATAAAAATTATTTCTAGGCCAGGTGCTGTGGCTCACACCTGTAACTGTAGCACTCTGGGAGGCTGAGGTAGGAGGATCGCTTGAGCTCTGAAGTTCAAAACCAGCCTGAGCAAGATCCCCTCTCTATTAAAAACAGAAAAATTAATTGGCCAACTAAAAAAAAAATAAAAACAGAAAAATTAGCCAGGCGTGGTGGCACATGCCTGTAGTCCCAGCTATTCAGGAGGTAGGAGGATCACTTGAGCTGGAGAGTTTGAGGTTGCTGTTAGCTAGGCTGACACCACTGCACTCTAGCCTGGCAACAGAGTGAGACTGTCTCAAAAAAAAAAAAAAAAAAAAATTATTTCTATATTTAACAAGACAATATTATAGTTTACTGCTGTACAAGTAGAAATGTTGGAATGATTTTTTTAAATTATTTCAGCTAACACATAAAAGGAAATGTAAGGCCTTTTATTTCCTGTCACTGATAGAGACAACAAATGGGTATCAGAGCCAGAAAATGACAGATGCGCCTATATTCTACTGTAACCACTATAGAGTGAAGGAATACTGACTGTAATCTATATCTATGTAACTTCTTCCTTGCTAACAGTTACATAGAAGATATGCATTACTAAAACAATCAAGATATTATGTTTTCCTATTTGAGTGTTTGCATTCACTACTAGTTCATAAACTATTTCCAAGCCCTAATCTATCTTAAACTGTATATTATTCAAGGAAAACTCAATGAAAACTAATACCAAGTATCCTTCTATATTGCTTCTGTGCTCCCTTTGACAGACTAGACACGTGAGTATGAATTCTATATAATAAATGCTTCCCTCTGATCCCTGTCTTAAGATTTATCAACACTATAAAAAGACAATTTCTGACAGTATGTTGCTTGCCTTTCATATGGTAGGAACACAAAGACTGGGGAGAAGCTAATTTAAGCTAAAATGGAACTGTGGTTTCCACATTTCCTTTCCTCTGTTATTAAAGTTATCCTTGAGTTTAACTTCAGTTCCTTCTCACAATACATCCATCATCTACCAATACAGAAAATTTAGGAGACTGAAGAAAAGGCAAATGGCATGTCCTTGAAACCATCTTCTTCCCCCTACTTCTTATCACTTACTTTGAAGAGGTTGTGTACTTGATATTTCCTCTGAAGAACCTCTAGTAATATAATTTCATGTTTCTCATTTAACATTTTCATTATATTAAAGATATTTGTATAGTCCTTTCAAATTTGTTGTGATAATATTTAACCTACATTTTGTGAATGTTAATTGCCTAGGTGATTAGGTACTACTCATTTGAAAAACACTTGAGGTAAGCATATTAATATAAGAGTAACCCACTATCCTGACATTTCCAAACTGAAGGTGGGGATGGAGTGTGAGGGCAAGAGTGGTAATCTCTGATCTAACAGTAGGGACTTACACACCCAAAGCAGAAAAACATACCTACAGAGTTTTCTTCAAAATTCCCACCCACCACCACCAACAGAATTAAATGGTAAATCACCACTCACCTTGTGCTACGGTTGACATGACCACAGATGGTGTAGAGGACACCACAGCTGTTACTGCAACTGTATTAGGAACAGGCGATGGTGTAGAACTGCTGCTGCCACTGCTGTTACTACTGACCAGAGAGGACTGTGAAGCAGTTATAACAACTGGCGGCTTCTGGGTTGTGGAAGCAATGACTGATGTTGGTACAAGCTTAGTGACTGCTGCATAGTTATGGGATTTGGAGAGAATGTTGGGCACGAAGGTTGAACTTGGTGATGTGGTCACTATAATAACCTAAGGAAGGGAAAATAAGTTACTTTCACATACCCACTGTACTACTAATGTATGCAGACTCACAGTTAGTTATATATGATATAAAAATAGCTTATGAAACATGAAGAAACAATTCAACAGAGAGGAATATACAACTAAAAATATCTGAAAGCTTTACTAGTAATCATCAAAATGTATTTAATAGCAACAACTTTTACCAATCAAATATTTTAGAAGATAACATGCAGTACTGTGCAAGATATAGCAAAGTAAACATTTCAATATCCTGCTCAGGGAATATAAACTGGCGTAATCTTTCTAGAAAACGATTTAGGTATTTATTCATTTGTAAATTTTTATTGAGCATCTACTATGTGCCAGGCATGGTTCTAGATGCTGGAGAATAGAAGAATGAACAAAACAAAATTCATACTTCCAAGGAGCTCACATTCTAGTAGGCAGAGAGAAACAATGAGCAAAAAAGGAAATATATGTCAAATAGAGACAAATGGAAGATACAATAAAGTGGGGTAAGGGAATAAAGAATCATGGGCATGCTATATGATTTTTTTAACATACTGAATAAAGACCTCTCTGTAAGGTGACATTTGACGAGAAACCAGAAGGAAATAGGGATATGAACCATGTTGCTACATAGAAGAGTATATAACACAAGGAGCAGGCCCTGAGGCAGAAGCAAGCTTGGTATGTTCAAGAAACTTTAAAGACCTAATAAACAGGATAGGAATTTATAAGGTAAAGAGTAGTGGGTGACAACTACAGAGAAGTAATGGAGGACTGGATCAAGTAAGATCATCTTGATAGTATATACCCTTGATATGATGTAATGAAACTGGAACTTTCTCTCTGTGGTCTTCCTTCAAAAAACCCATTATCCTACTCTACTCATAAGAAAAACATTCAAATTCTAATAGTCGGGCATCTACAAAATACTTGACCAGTACTCCTCAAAAGTTATCAAAAACAAGGAAAGTCTGAGAAACTTTCACAGATAAGAGGAGCCTAAGGAGACATGAAAAGGAAATATAATGTGGTATCCTAGAATAGAAAAAGACATAGGTAAAAACTAAGGAAATTAATATTATCTGTTAATTATAACAAAGGTATTATACTAATTTAAAATGTTAAGAATAAAAGAAACTGGGCCAGGTGTGGTGGCTCACTCCTGTAATCCTAGCACTCTGGGAGGCCAAGGTGGGCAGATCCTTTGAGCTCAGGAGTTCAAGAGCAGCCCAAGCAACAGCAAGACCCTGTCAATAAAATAAAACAAAATAAAATAAAATAAAATAAGATAAGATAAAATAAAATAAAATAAGATAAAATAAAGAATAGAGGAAACTGGGTGTAGGATATATGAAAACTCTGTATTATCTTCTCAATTTTTCTATAAATCTAAAACTATTCTAAAAAGTATCTTTTTGAAAGTAATCATTATTCTATCTGCTAGGTAAAAAGTCTAATAGAGCAATGAAGGTAGCAAGAGGGAGACAATTAGGAAGCTCCTGTAACAAACCAAGCAGAGACGGTGACCAAAATGTTTATGGTGGAAGTAGTGAAAAGTGAACAGATTCTGAATACATTTTAAGGTTAAAACCAACATGATATGTTCACAGGTTGATATGAAGAATGGAGAACAAAGAGGCAGAAAAGAAACATCAAGGTTCAGCTAATGTAGCTAGAAAACTGCAGATGATCTAGAAACAAAGCATTTCAGACAGAGAGAACAGTATGGCATAAAAGACCTATGTCAGAATTAGCTTGATGTAGTTAAAAACAGAAAGAAAGCCAGTGAAGCAAAAGCATATAGGGCAAGGAGGCATTGGAAAAGTAAGCAAAGGCCACATCAAATAGAGTAAAAAATTTAGATTTTATACTAAAATCTAAAATTAATGGGAAGCCAAGGGAGCATTTTAAGTACAGAAAAAACAAAATTTGATTTATATTTTAAAAGATCAGTCTACCTGCTATGTGGTGAGAGGCCAAGGGTAGGAGCAGTGAGACCAGTTAAGAAACTATTGCAATAGACCAAGCATAAATGATACAGGATGCTTGGACTGGGTTGTTAATAGGGAAATGAAAAGAAGTGATCAGATTCAAATTATTTTGAAAGGTAGAGACTAGGACTTGTTGATGAATGGAAATGGCAGGGTTGAGAAAAAGAAGAGAATCAAGAATAAATAGCTCCTATAGCTAATATATATTAGATTATTTAAATCTCCCAAAAATCCTATGATGCAGATACTATTATTATCCCCATTTTACAGCTGAGAAAACAAAAATCATTTATAAATCTATAGTATGACAGTTTTATTCTGGGGTGAATATAATGGTGATATAGTGAAACCCAAAACAGAGCAGATTATCTCCTTCTTCTTTCACTGAAATTATTTGTACCTACCTCATATAGAAAAAGTGTTTAAAACAATTAGTACCTACATCTCAAAGAAGCTTTGACCATAATATTGTTATTTATATATCTTCAGAGCTACAGAGAATTACAAAATACAAGTACTTTTTCATTACTTTAAGGAGTTTGTTAATTATTTGAGGAGTCAAGCAAGATACCTAAGTCTTAACCAGCAGACACCTGTATAGAGTTGACCAGCATACTTACATATAGATTTGATCAGTAAATACCTACATAGCTTTAATAGAAAAACAACAATCAACCATTATACAAACTGAGAAGTAGACCAATATGGTAAAAAGACCACAAGGTTAAGTCAGATAAACCTGCACTTAGATCCTGCATCTGCCATTTATAAAAATGGCAAGCCCCTGGACATGTTAAAAATCTCTGGGCTCTAATTTTCATCTAAAAATGGGGATAATAATACCTAACTTGCAAAATCATTACAATGACTAAATGAGATAATGATGTTAAGCATCTGACATAGTGCTAGGCACATAGCAGGTGGTCAATATTTGGCAGTCAACAAATGGTACTTATCAGTAGCTTATTATTACTACTTAAATGTTGAAAAGATATCAGTAAAGACATTACACATTAAATTAATTGGGAAATGTATTTCAATGTACTTTATTTTTGTTTCATTAAAAATTTCCCTTTATCTTTTCCCCAAATTCTGATACCTCCCAGAATCCAAATAACTCACAGCTACTACCATAGCCAAACCATTAGAGTAGTAATGGCAATTAGGTCTCACTTTTGCTGATTCTGAACTAATAGCAGTAGCTTCTTGGAGCTCAATGCTTATAATGACTGTGAGGCACAGATGAGGATTTGCCAAGGGTTGGCAGGAAAGTATGCACAGTTAATTAATTAATGTCTGTCATGTGCAAGGGAAAGGGAAGTGTTTACAGTTGTGTCAAATATTTATAATTTCAGAACTAGAGTATGCAGGTAGGCTTCTAACATCAAGACAAAAAAACTTCAGCAAAATAAATCTAGAGTCTTAAAGAGTAGGTTTTAGGTTATAGATACAAATTATAAAACATAATTTTGAGATTTCAGCCTGCAAGATGATTTCTGATCTGAAAAGGGGTTATCAAAAATTAGAGTTCCACCCTGGAGAAAACCTATTTGCACTTTAAAGTTACTTATTACAACAGGAGAAATATAGGGGTGTTGAAACCACGTGAACCAAACAGTGTTTATTCAGGCCATAATTCAAATTACTGACCTTCTAGCACTCACAAAAACTCCTTAAGAGTGCTGGGACTTGCACCCTAAGGATAAAATGAAAAATATCAATCAAGCACATGAAAGCATAAAGCTATATTCTGCTGCTTTGTTTATATAAGTGCTGCATCAATGTTATATTTAAAATGAAGGCACCACATTAACATAGGTGGAAATTTGTCTACCTTGGAAATATATGACCTATTTGAATTTGAATAAAGTCCTCAAATTCATAAATAATTATACTTAATATAAAAGTCACTTCACCTAAAATAATTCCTAAGTTGCCTTACACAGGATTTGTGAGAAATCCAAGGTAAATACAATAATGGCAATAGCCTTGGATAAATTTCAGAAAAATTCAATTACCCAGCAAAAGGAAAACAAAAACAAAACACCCCAAGTTAGTCCTATTAGTCCTACCTGTACTCAGCTTGTCCACAAAATAAAACTGATGCCATTGAGTACACATGAAGTAAAAAAGTACAGTTTTACATCTGGAGCATAACAGATGCTCAATAAATATTTGGGGAATGAATGAGTCTTATTTTTTATTTAATCTGTTTTAAATGTTTATTTTTTTTAGACACAGTAAGACACATCTAAGGTTCAGAGCCTGAAATATCACAGTATGGCTCATACATGACCTTGGAGATGAATATGGCCTCTTGTAAACATCGTAAATCTGAAAACCTCAACTATCCATTCTCAAATGAAAATTCAGAGAAAAAAACAAAAGATATGACAAAGCCAACGAATTAGAAAAAAAAAGTTCACAAACTTCATTGAATAGGTGAATCCCCAACTATTATAAGTATTTTTATGTACATTTACAAAGATTGTAAAGTTAATAATGTTAGGTGACATTTACTGAACACTCATTATATGTACCATTTTAAGTATTTTACATGAATCACCTCATTTAATTTTCCCAGTAACTCTAGGTAATACTACTATCATCTTTATTTTATAAGGAAACAGGCTCAAGAGATGTAGCAGAGCCAATATTGGCACCAGATCTATTTATTCATTTATTAATTTGTTCATTCATTCATTCAACAAATATTAATTAGCACCTACTACATGCTAGGCACTCTTCTAAACACTAGGGAATACAGTGATAAAGGAGACAAAGTCTCCACCCTCAACAACTTATAGACTATAGGAGAAACAGAAGATAAACAACTTTGCAATATAACATCAATTAGTTAAAAGTATTATGAATAAAAATAAAAGAGAGTAAGGGAATAGGAGGATATGGATGGGAGGTAGGTTCTTTTAGCTAGTAGCTAATTCTTTTAGCTAATAGCTTTGCTTTACTATCTCAAATATCAAATTAAAGTACATAAGGGTAGAAGGGAGAATAATTACTGAGAAAATAAGATCCAGCAATGAAGGCAATAAAAATATCACAGTAAACAGACTTGAAAATTCAGAGATAGCAGGCTGATGTCACCAAATATAGGGCCAGCCCAGAAAGCAATAACTAAAATAGTATATGAAAAATGATATTCAGAAAGATTATCTTGAAGTATCAAATAAAAATGTAAAAATTATGTTCAGTATAACATTTAAGAAGTCATCAAAGTAGTTAATTTTTTTATATTAAGGGTAAACTTCAATGAACTGATGAACAGCTCACTTATTTGGAACAGCTCATTTTCAACCGTGTAAATAAACAAAACACTACTTTCCATAAAATACCTGTAAGGAAAGGACACTAATTTTTTTAATATATATCTTATGTTGTACTTTAAACAGCCAATTTCATTTAATCCTCACTATCTCATTAAAACCTCATTAGGTTTTAATCTCATTAAAACCTCATGAGACTGGCATTATTCTCATCTCATAGATGAATAAGCAGATATAGAAAGACTAATTTATCCTAGGTCATACTGGAAAACCTGGGGTTCTAACCCAGGACTCTCTGACTACAAAAATTCTTGTTTGATTTTAATACTACACCATAATCCCTCATCCTCAGACTGAAAATAGAATTATATCCCACAGATCATTCAGCTCATTATCACTTCTAGATATTGAAAGAATAACGATAATTTTTAATATACGATATAATGATATCTTTTCAGGAAACTCAAAGAGGTTCTTTTTTTCTTTTTTTGAGACAGAGTCTCGGTTTGTTGCCCAGGCTAGAGTGAGTGCACTGGCGTCAGCCTAGCTCACAGCAACCTCAAACTCCTGGGCTCAAGCAATCCTGCTGCCTCAGCCTCCCGAGTAGCTGGGACTACAGGCATGCGCCACCATGCCCAGCTAATTTTTTCTATATATATTAGTTGACCAATTAATTTCTTTCTATTTATAGTAGAGACGGGGTCTCGCTCTTGCTCAGGCTGGTTTTGAACTCCTGACCTTGAGCAATCCACCTGCCTCGGCCTCCCAGAGTGCTAGGATTACAGGCGTGAGCCACCGCGCCCGGCCCTCAAAGAGGTTCTTTAAATGAAAGTTATCACAGGATTAAAAATTCAAAGATGGAAAGAGCATTGAATACAGAATTTACCTCCACTTCTTCCCTAAAGTCCCCCTAAAATAGTTTGAAGGGGGAGGGAAGGGAAGAGGCACATAACCTATAAGATCAAAACAAAAAGGAGACAATAGCTATAAAGTTTCAGAAACTGGAAAACAGACAAGTAGTAATGGATCAAGCACATCCAAGAAAGTGGAAACCTAAGTTAGCAAACAGACAACTAGCAAATAAGACAACTATCATTAGTGAACCCCAGAAAGACTCAAGAATTTAGAGCACCACAAACTTCTGAAGTAGAGGTAAAAGTGAAAAACTACAGAGAGGAAAACTAGTTGAAAATCTGTTTAAACAGCATAGAGATCACTAGCTATCCTTCCCCACCCTAAAGGAAAGTGAGGAATACACTCTCTTGAAGGTGACTAAATCCAAGGATATCTGATGACATCAGGCACAACTGAGGAGGGTGGGTACTATACTGAAAACAAAGGGGTTAAATAAAGTCTGCATAATGAATGGTGAGCCCACCCAGCCTTCTCCCCCCATTTATTCACCAAACACTGACAGCCTAGCTTATACTACTTAAGGTAGGAGACTAGAATATTCTTCTCTAAGGAATCTGACCAGTCCAAGGAAAAGCCCCAAAGATAGTAACAACTGATGGAGGTGAAGGGGTAGTGAGTGTTCCTCAACAAAACAGCCCAGTTAGGTCAATCTACAATGAAAGTCACCATTAACATGTCCCAACCATACACAGAGAGCTTTCTGTCATCTTTTTAGTGTCTACTTTCATTTATAAGCAGATAGCCAGACAGTTAAGGAAAGTGAAATAAAAGAGATCAAAATAAATAGATAAAAGGAACTTACATGAAAGTGAGAGAAAATGAAAGAAGAGACATAAAAATATTATCATGAATACCAAGTAAATGAATACAATAATTCTGTGAAAGAGCAGGATGCTAATTTTTTTTTAAAAGAGCTTTTAGAGAACAAGAAAGACTTACTAGAAATTTAAAGTATGACAGCAAAACTAAATTACATAAAAGTACAGAAAGATAAAGTTAAGTGATAAGGAAAATAATAATACTTACACAGCATTTACTATGTGCCAGGCTCTATTCTAAGTTTTTTATATATTATTTCATTAAATAAATGACACCCAAAATCCTATAAAATAATATTGTTTTCCCTGTTTTAAAGATGAGAAAACTTCGGTAGAGTCTGGTTTTCCCAGTCACATAGCAAGTAAGTGGTAAAAGCCAGAATTTGAATCCAGGAAGTCTGTTCTGATATTCAGGCTTTTGTCATTATACTAGAGTAGGAAAAAAGTGCAAAAAAAAAAAAGGAAATGGGGAATGAGAAAAGATAAGAAAATTACAGGATCAATTCAGGCAGTTCAACAGGTGATCCAAAAAAGAAAACAGAGAAAAATCAAAGAAATAACTCAAAAAATTTTCTAGAACTGAAGGACATAAGTGTCCAGAATAAAAGGGCCTATTGAGAACACAAACTATTGGCTAACAAAGGCCCACACCAAAGAACATTACCTTGAAATTTCAGAACTCTGAAAGTTACTAAAAGTTTTCAAAGAGAAAAACAGGATCTGAAATTAGAATGGCATTGGGCTTCCCAAAAGCAATACTGGAAGCCAGAAGCCAACAAAGCAACACCTTCAAATTTCACATGGAAAGTGATTTCCAACCTAGAATACCAACCTAGCTATACCATCAAGAAAGTGGGAGAATAGAATAAAAGAATTTGCAGTCCACCATGCAAGATTTAAAAAAATTTTCTTTCCATTCAACCATAAACTAGGAAGCTACTGGAGAATATACTCTAGCAAAATGAGTCAATAAATTAACAAAGAGCAAGATCAGAATAACAGTAAAGGGAAATCCCAGAAATATAAGTGTGCAACAAGCTTAGTATGGGAAGGCAGAGGGTTCTAATAATATGAAACTGACAGAATATTGATGACTTGAAGATTCTTAGAGAAGAGTTTAGGAATGCATTAATACTAGTATATAAAGAATTTTAAAAGATGACAATTATTTACTTAATTATAGCCTTCCTTTCTTCTATGAAACACCTAACTGACAACTTTATTACTTTGGCAAAGTAAAAACTGATTTCCTCAAGTAAGGTCATACAAATATAGATTTAAAAAATTTTTCTATTTTAATTATTTTTCAAAGGCATTATAATTAGAAAATAGAGCACAATTCTTAGAAGTAGGAGATCTGCTAGCTGTGTCATCCTAAGGAAGTCCTTTAGTATCACTAAACTTCATCTGCAAAAAATGAAATAATAATACCTATACCAAAGCTTTATGTGTAGAATTAAACAAAGTAAGAGATGTGAACATTCCCAGCATAATGCCAAGCACATAGTAAGCACTCAGTGCATGTTTATTAAATCTCAATTATATTGTCTGAAAGAAACAATTGGCAGGCAGAGACTCCCTCGACCACATACCTTTTGTGTTGTTGTGTTTGTTGTCTGTGTTGACGGTTTGGTGAAGGTTATTTTCACAGGAGACATGTGGGGTGGTAAGGAGTTGGCAATGCTCTGCATGATGTTGCTCATCTTGGGACTACCACTCACAGGCACAGTGATCGTCTTTGAGACTGGAACAACAGCCTTTGGAACTTCCTTAAGGACAACGGGAGAGGAGCTAGAAGAGTTTGTTCGCCTTCGTTTTCTAGGCTTTTCATCTTCATCTGAACAGCTAACACCTGAAGGGCAATGATAATACTGCTATATTTATATCAAACTAACATTGCATTTTACACTTTATTTTTAAACCTTTGTGTCATCAAGTCATCCTTGACCTCATGCCCAATCAGCCAAGGGTCCTATCAATCCTCCCTCAAAGAAGTAGTCTCTTGGCTGGGCACGGTGGCTCACGCCTGTAATCCTAGCACTCTGGGAGGCTGAGGCAGGTGGATTGCTCAAGGTCAGGAGTTCAAAACCAGCCTGAGCAAGAGTGAGACCCGTCTCTACTATAAATAGAAAGAAATTAATTGGCCAACTAATATATATAGAAAAAATTAGCCGGGCATGGTGGCGCATGCCTGTAGTCCCAGCTACTCGGGAGGCTGAGGCAGCAGGATTGCTTGAGCCCAGGAGTTTGAGGTTGCTGTGAGCTAGGCTGACGCCACGGCACTCACTCTAGCCTGGGCAACAAAGCAAGACTCTGTCTCATAAATAAATAAATAAATAAATAAGTAAGTAAGTAAGTAAGTTAGTCTCTGAATGCCTTCCCTTCTTTCTTTAAACCTATGGCCTCTGCTCCATATGTCAGGCCTTCGTATGTCCTGCCTGTATCTTAGCAACAATCCCCTAAAAGATGTCCAAGCTTCCAGCATCTCCACTTCCATCCTATGCTCCATGACTAGTTACAAAATTCACATTTAATCACATCAATGCACTGCCTAAAATCTTTTAGTAGTTTTTGTTTTCCTAGAAGATGAGACACAAAATCATTACCATACCATTCAAGGCCCCATTTCTTTTCAAGTATACAATATCCTGCTGCACCCAATCTTGTGCAACCCTTTAATCTTGGCATGTTAAACTGCTCACCATTCCCCAAAGCCACCTAACCACATTCTATTCATCTCTGGGCATCCATATACTACTGTTCTTTGGGGAATACTACCTCCTATCAATCACCTCTCGATCACCTTGTAATCATCATTCTGTTAACCTCAATGAAGCTTTTCCTTATTCTTCTAAGCAAAGCTAATCCATGTCTCCTCTGAGCTTATAAAGCACTTGTACATTCTCTTCTATACCACTTATCATATGGCAATGTGATTGTTTGCACATCTCCCATTATTAAGGGGCTCCCAAAAGGCAATGACTTAGTTTTATTGGTTTGTTTCCCCAGTATAGTGCCTTGTATAAAATAAAAAGTTAGGTGAATAAATGATTATATCCCACACTAATGTTGTTCGTGTGACTTCTGAGTATAAAGCAATAAACTTCCTGTTACTTAAAACTGCACATAATGTGATGTGGTTTCTTCATGTTTGGGATGCACTTTCAGTGTTTAAAAAATGATCAAAAAATAGGTTCCTACAGTTATTTTAAAAGACCACCTTGGCTAAATCCACAGAAATCAGATATAAACTTAATTAGTAGTCCCAGATTCTTAGTTACTTCTTGATAAACTAAAGCCTCAATTGTTTTTATAGACTTTTTAAAAATCAAGTGAGAAACATAAGACATAGGAAATCTCTACCAAGAAGACATAAAAAGTTATACAGCATGACTCATGGAATTGGTAATAAATATAAGTCCACACCTTCAATTTTTAAACTCTAATTTAAACAGGGCTGACAATGACCTAAAATCATGCCTCTGAAATGCAAACTTTGCCTCTAAAAATTACAAAGAAATAAAGTTTATAACAGTATAGAGAAAAATGAAAATCAAATATATTAATGATCTCTAGTTGATAGCAAAAGCAAAGCAAAAAATTAAATTAAAAATAAAATTTAAAAAGTCTGGCTTCCTCAGTTTCTGTCTCGCTTCTTTTCTCGCCATGTGATCTCTTTGTATACACCTGCTTCCTTTCTACTTTCCACCATGAGTTGAAGCAGCATAAGGTCCTCACCAGATGCAGCTGCCTAATCTTGGAACAATAAAACTCAACTTTCTATCACCAGGATCATGAACCAAATAAACCTTTTTCCTTTATAAATTAAATAAAGTAAGTGAATTAAATTTTAATTAAATTTTAAAATAAGAGCAACACTGGCATAACAGAAAGTAAAAAGAAAAAAACGAACTGGACATCAAACTGCTTCATAGGGTAGAATCAAGGAGTAAAAAACTGCAAATAAAAAAACTTCAAAAAGTTACAGTCAACTAGAAACGTAAAAGATTCTCTAGAATGCTTCATTGAATCGAACAATTGGATGATATGTTATATAAAATAATTTAAGAAGCTACTACAAAGATTATGATTATAGGAGTAAATATTGAATAAATCATATAAGCAATTCTTTCTGTTTCTATTCATAATATTTCTATTTCATGACAATGAAAAAAGTGAATTCTTGAAGGATAACACTGTTCAAAGGCAGATTCCCCAGAGAACAAAAAAGAAGTCATTTCTCAAACCCCAGATCTGATTAAAAAGCAATATACACTAGTCATATGTAAAGAAAGGAATTCTTTAGAACCTTCATAAACTAACCACTGCTAATAGCTAGTGGACCAATGATTTAATCCAGGAAGGCAGATCTAATCAGGCCTATACTGCAGCATTTAGCCAAGATGGCCCTGATAACACTGAGAGTATCACTTACTTTTGACATAAACAGTACTTCCACTTGGCAAGACAACTACATTGGAGGCAGGACTGGCAGGTCTTGGAGACTTAACCGTTGCTATGCTGCCACTTGGAACAGGGGTAGAGGTTGGGGTTGACGTGGTACTTGTGTAGGAATAGCAAACCACGACTGAAGGAACGATAAAAAAGTTTGCTGTTAACTTTCACCAAAACTGTCCAGGCATAAAGAAAAATTATTTTTATTGCAGGCCAATTTTAACATTTTCATGTGATCAGAAATCAGAGGCCAGTACTAAGTATTAGTTCTACAGGTTAAAGGTATTAATAACCTTTCCTGAAAACCATCATTTAAATGGGTTTTCCCTATAACAGCTTGTCTACAGGTGACACTGCCAATGGACGAGAATGCAGTTACAAAGAAATCAAGTTTAAAACCATACTGAGAAAAATGAAAGTCATTTTTCATTCATGGCAGAGTTGGGCAACAGGCACATACTTGTATTCCCTTTTAATACTAACAGCACCAATGACGGGTGAGGGATAATTTTTCCCTGACCATAGCAATTTCCAAGGTGGCCACTAGGGGAGAACCAAGGTAAGGTTCTTTTACATAAACCAACTCACTAGTCATTTGCCATCCAAGTAATGCAACAATAACTCCACACTAAAATAATGACATCATATTTCAACCTAGCATTCAATGAAGGAACACAGCTCAACAACAGCAAGAATAGCTGACAGGCACCATGCACTGTACTAAATCCTTTCCATACATTTTCACTAATTCTCACAATATCACATCCTCATTTTAAAAATTGGGAACCCAAGGCTCACAGAAGCTAAGACGTGCTGGAGGTCACATAGCTAGGAAACGACAAAGATTCAAACATGTACTTGACTAGTGGAAACCCTACATTCCTTCCACTCTACCAGAGATTTGGTAGAGGGAAAAGGTATAAGTGGAAAGAGAAAAGATACCTTTCCAACAACGAAGAAAACGGGAATTCAATGTAGGCCAAGTTTGCACACAGATAACTGTCTTCCTCCAAATATAGCTTCCTTCAGCCTAAAACAGAGCCTGGCATGCATGAAAAGAGTATCTCACTCTGCTCCACAGCCCACTGCTAGGCAAGAAGAGACAATTCCCCAGAGTGATCTGACAAATGCATTGTTTTCAAGGTCATTATTATGCAACACCAAACTAAACTACTGGAGTCAATCCAAATATGCTCTCTCAAATTTAATATTATTCTTAGTGAGAGAGAATTCAAAGATTTTTAAAGCACATATTAATTACTGTATTAAATAATAATGAGAAAGTCTTTCTGCCAGGTAATGTATTTAGCACATTGACTAGAACAGAGTAGCAGCATATACCACAGATTCCAGAAAACAAAAACTGAGCTTTATTTTCTAAAGCTATCAGGTTCAGCATCTTTTTTTAGCAGCTAAATGACTTCTGTCATCTTATTTATTTTCTGTCATCCACCAAAGCCTTGTATTCACTTCTAACAAAATCCACTGATATCAAAAATTTATTCCAAAAATATTTTTGTAATTTTGTGATTAACGTAATTTACACTTTCAACAAAAGGAAGATTTGATTTTGGCTGAGACTGAGAACCTGGCAGTTTCTAGTTTCAGAATCAGAGTTGCCCACTATGTTTTATGCCTTTACACACTGGGATAAAAGTAGATGAAAAATTATCTCTAACACAAAAATATTTTTCTACTCACCTTCCTTGCTTCCTGTTTCTGCAGGCACTGGAAGAGATGCATTGTGCTGAATAGCTGCATTGGCAACAGCATTAGCTGTTACAGTGAAGGCAGTTTGGGGAACCAGCCGGGGCATCAGTGGTACCAATCGCCGACCTTCAATGGACCATTCTGAAGAGCTATTAGGTCCAGACATACTAAACAAAAAAGAAAGTGCTGCTACAAGGGTTCTCAATGGCTAAAAATGAATATATTTTCTCAAATAAATATAACTTTTTAAACTACAAAAAGTACCCTGAGTGAACAGGAGAGGCTTTATTTTAAGCAAGCAAGATCAAAATTATGAATAATTAGAATTCAAGGAATGTCACACATTAGGTTCTTACACATTTGTATCTATAATCTGAATCTTATGAGCATAATTGAAACTACAAAACATTTTCCTATGCCTTCTAAATATATATGGACTTTGGTTTTACTAATTTAAATTTACTATCACTAATGAAAACTAGTATTTTTACTAACTTTTATAACTTAATTTTGTAATTAAACCAAGAAAGTAAAAAGCACTAATAATTTTTAAAATCAGATTTTCCTTAATAATTAAGGATGGAATTCATTGAACCTTTGTAAATTACCTAACTGCCTGCATGGCCAGAGGTTCTAAGGCTTTCAAACAAAGGAAACTGAGGCAGTAAACGAGGGGAAATTAGGTAGCAAAGGACAGAAGAGTGCTGTATATATAACAGCGTGTGTCATTGACAATGTACTATGCTATTATCCTTCCTGTTAAAAATAGACTAGATCTGAGGACAGTGAAGAAACCTGCCACTACTTTTATTTTTATTTATTTATACCATGCTTCACTCTAAGAAGAATTTGAGGCAATTAGACTGTCTCTAAGCAGATAACACTCTCAGTTTCTCTCCCCTAAATTTCTTGATCAAATTTTACCCTTGAACTCTAGCAAGAAGTTGAAATATCAAAAGGTAACTGTGGGCTGGGCGCAGTGGCTCACGTCTGTAATCCTAGCACTATGGGAGGCCACGAGGCAGATTGCTCGAGGTCAGGAGTTCGAAATCAGCATGAGCAAGAGGGAGACCCTGTCTCTATTATAAATAGAAAGAAATTAATTGGCCAACTAAAATATATAGAGAGAAAAAATTAGCCGGGCATGGTGGCGCATGCCTGTAGTTCCGGCTACTTGAGAGGCTGAGGCAGGAGGATTGCTTAAGCCCAGGAGTTTGAGGTTGTTGTGAGCTAGGCTGACGCCAGGGCACTCACTCTAGCCTGGGCAACAAAGTGAGACTCTGTCTCAAAAAAAAAAAAAAAAAAAAGGTAGCTGTGTCATTTCTCTTGAAGTGGCTTCATGAAAGACCCTAATGATTAGCTCAAAGCTCAAAATTCACCCAGAAACAACCTCTACACTAAATTGGAAATATTTCTGCACTTTTTTCAAAACCATAAATTCTACAACTCAATTTAATGACTCTGTATGTCCACTGATTCTTCAGATTTAGATGGAGTATACAAATGCCCTTATTAATGGATAGTGGAATAATGATGATGATGGTAATGATAATAGATAACATTAAGCACTTACTATATGTCAAACATTTTTTGTTTTAAACATTTTACATGTATTAACTCAATAATCCTATGAAGTTGGATTGTTACTTCATTTTATAGATGGGGAAACGGAATCACAGAGAGGTTAAATAACTTGCCTAAGGTCACACAACTAATAAATATCTCCTTCAACAAGCATGTATTATGCTATTGAAATTATCTGCCACATCATAAATAGAAAGCATAAAATTTTTCAAGTGGGTTTTATGTCTAACTTGTGCCTTTGATTTACACCATTTGGGCACTGCTGTTAAATTACTACCCACTTTTACTGAATGGAATAAATTACAATTTAAGAAGGATTTAAGTTCAGTTCAGAAAGGAATTTCTAGGAGCTGATGAATCCAAGTGGGTTACTGTGGAAAATCTATAAATTCCTGCATGGTTTGACACAGTGCTACCTAAGACAAGGAAAAGAGGAGTTCTTAAAACCCCAATAACCCTCACAAATTTGTTATTACATAATCTCTAAGTTGATGCTAGTTTTGAAACAAAGAATGGTACAAACAAGAGACAGGAAAGGGCTATAGCTAATTGTTAGAGGAAAAAATTCTAAAAGTTATTCAGCATTTTCTTGACTTACTCATATTTTGCTATCATTTTATTAGACTAACACTAACAAATTTGCTTGATGAAAGCTTATCACACAAATAAAATGATGTCTATACTTACCTGATGCATTGTTTAAATGGCAGCAGAAATTATGGAAGATTGATCATTTGAAGCACATGAATATACACTATTGAAAAGACAAAACTTGCAGTGCAAAAGACACAACTGCAACTTTTAGAAATATCTATAAATCTTCCAAATTTCCACTCATGCAAACATGCTCAAACTTTTTTTAAGTGAGTGAAAAATCAAATATCATGTTAGAATTAGGTCAAAAACCCTATTTGCTTAGTAATGAAGGTGTAAATATGCATTAGTTGCATAAGTAATCTAAACTAAATTTTACAGACTACATCTTCCTGCAGGGCTTCACTGGGATATCTTAGTCTCAGCATAAGAATGCCTCTCTATTAATACTAAGTATGGCAAGAAAAACATTGCTCCAACCTCTTTTCTGAGATATCTAAGATGATACTAATGAAACTACCTTAGCCCTCACATCCTTTGGTTGTATAAGGCACCAGCAAAAAATCCTCACCCTCACACAGAAACTCTTACATTATACCCTGTAAATGTCTGACTGATGGGGAAAGGGTTAAAGAGAGCAGAAATTCCAGATAGCCACTTTCTTCTAACTCTAGAGACAATGTAAGAGTGGCCCAATTAAAAAACTGAAGCTCCTTGACATCCAAGGCTTTAATATTGTAATATTCTGACATAATTCAAAACTGAATTAGAGTATCAAACTTAATAAGTAGCCTGGTGCCAAATAGTAAACACGTGTTATGCTTCAAGCTACAGGCAAGCCTTTCTTTGTTCGCAGATACCATATTCCTTTTGTTTTCCCCTCTTTTGTGCTCAATCTTCTCATCACCTTTCAACCACATTCCTTCAGGCCTAAACTGCAATTTTGAGTTGGGGGAGGGAAGGGAGAGGAGAAAGGGAATGCAGTCGGTTCGGATGCATTCCTCTAGTTGTTTTTTTAGGCTCAGAGTATGTGGCCCTCCTATAGATAATTTTGGAACTACGCTCTGCTGTAACTTTTGAGTGGAAGAGAGGACATGGAGAGAACAAGGGATCTACTCCTTCCTCACCACTCTCTGACCCTTGAGCTCAAGAAGTAAATACAACATGTGATAAAACTAAAATGATAATATAAAATATTAAAACAGAAGTAAAGAAAAACCTAAAAAGCTTAAAATTATACATGGAAGTAAACTCTTTTCAAAAAATGAAATTCATATATTAAAGAAACCAAAAAGGAGAGAAAACAAAAGGAAACACAGGCAGATAAAAGCCAACTCTCAATTATCCATGCTAATGGAGAGAGGAGGGAAAGGGAGAGGTCAAATAGATTAAAGAAATTCATGTATGATCCAAAAATATTTTGGCTAACACTTGTAAATTCTCCCACCAAACCTTTTCCAAGACAACTAACATGTAGAAAAATACCTAATTGAAATTTTCACCTCCTCTCCCTTCCCACCCTCTGACTAGAGATACTCCCAAGCAGCAAAATGGCTAAAGGGTGGGCAGTATTAGGAGACGGAAGAAGGGAAGAGAAGGAAAAGCAAGGGGCATGGTTAATTCATAAATGTAACAATGTGCCCCTGAATAATTGAGAGCTTCAATCTGGAAATAAATACAAGAAAAAGCCTGAAATAATAATAACCTATTTGCATACCTGTAACTTGGACTTTCACCCAAATATAAGGATAAATTCATTCTTTAAAGGGGAAAAAAGGAAAAGGAGACTCAATAAATGTTATCCTTTAAGTATGAAACTGATGCATCAACTTACAACTAGTTGTCTCACAAGACTGTTCCAATGCTTCTAAAGTACTAATTTGTTTCTAAGTGCCTCTGAATACAAGCTATTGTTTACTACTTAATTATCTAGCACATAACTTTCCTATTACTAGTTCTCAAATTAGAATCTAGGCTCATTTATCCTTGCTAGAGCAACTGAATCCAAAAGTTTAGAGCAAATTAAAGAAGGACCACATTTATATTTGAATGATTCTGTTAGCCTGACAACTAAATATGAACTATTTTTCTAATGGAAAATTTCCAAATTTCTACAGTGAAGAATCTAAAAATCACAGGATAAGCTAAACCCTTAAACTATGCTATTAAAAAGATAGCACCCCATTTTATGTTGGGGTGCTATCAGTAAAATGACCAACAGTGAAGCACAACATGAAGCTAATGGATCTTTGGGGTCAATTTACTGCCAAATGGTTTAAAAACATGTTTAAGTTATCACATTATGGAACTGCACTGAATTTTTCCTTTAGTTTTATTTCACATTAAAACACAAAAATAAAAAACAAATGAACTATACTATAACATTTTATGAAATAAAATGTTTATATCATCTTATATTAAAATTTAAAGGATAACTTGTTCCTTTCTATTCTTTAGGCAGGACTATCTTCACTCAATTAAGGCTTGATCCCTGCCCCTCAGTCCTCCACCATCCTTCACCCCGTCTGTCAAAGCGTTATAATGATCTGAAAACAACTTGATAAGATTCTTTATCATTTTATTTTGTTGACTTTTTTAAGTAAATTAAAATATAGTATATTCATGTTTCTTAAAAGCAGAACATATATTTTTATACTTTTTTGTGAATCTCAAAATACATGAAATGAGTCAGATATCAAAAAAGTTACAGTGCCTACTTATAAAGCAATATACATATCAAATATCATTACAAAGAACTTCTAAGGGGCTGTCATCTTTAGGAAGCACACTATTTTGTTATTGAACTGTGCTTCAAGTAAGTGTATCATCTGCTAAATTGTGGTGGTCTTTAGTTAAACAGAGATTACACTGTAACGGGATTTGACCTGAGAACTTAAAGCTAACCAAATACAAAAAACATAACCAACTGAATAAACAGTTAATACCTCTTTTACTTCTATGGTCAGGATCCCTGAGTATAGAGATGTTATTAAAAGACTCAGGAAGCTGCTACACAATAGGAAGACTGTTCAAAACTACGTTATACTACGTCATAAAAAAATCAGGGGTGGTATGACTAATGGCTTACTTATGTGCAATTGTTGTTAACCGTTCATCGTTTACTGCTCTCCGAACTTCAGCACGGTGGCGTTCTGTTGAGATGCTATGAAAAAAAATAGCCATTATAGAACTCTGCCAAGCAGGCAGCTCTTTTCTATACTTCTATTGTTTAAGTCAACATTTTGCTTAGGGGGAAGGGAGCAAGATTGCTTTGTGAGAAGATACAGACAGGAACCTAATATATATCTTCATATGCTACAACGTCTTAGAAAAGGATTCATACTAATTCTGTGTAACTGTAGAAAGAATTAGTTGCAAATTAGAAACCACAGGAAGACAAATTTACCCTGATATCAAAGCATTACTTCCAAATCTCAGAAATGTCAGACCATGGACAAGATTAGCAGAACTTCCTGCTATCTAAATATGCAAACAGACACTGAATGACCTCCTAATCACGACAGCTCAGAAGAGGATTTTGGCACTGAGAAGAAAGTCTTCTAAGGTCTTTCCTAAAGCTTAAGAGTCTATAATTTTATGTTGAGTGAATATTAAAAATAAATGAGAGTGGCAAAATAATGTTTCCTATGGCTGTATGTTATGAAACTTAACACCAGGCCAATATTCTTTATTACTTAACACTTTGGCTGTGTCTTCTACATTATATTATGATACCAATGGTAAAAATGTGCTATATTGATCCTGATTAAATACATGTAAAGTGACTAATACTAAACAACTAAAAAAAAGGCTACATCCATTCCATTCATAAATATGCAATAAAATGAGTACCATTCTTCCAATCGTGTTCTTCACTGCTTAAACTAAATCTATACCATAGACCAAAACATTTAAGGGGCTAGAAAGCAGAATTTATAAGGAAACATAAACAACAAACAAAAAATATAAATTGTTAACTATGAAAACAGTAAGACCAAGAATTTGGCTTAATAACATCCCTATATTAATGTTAATTAAAAAATAGAAAGAGCCTCTTCCTATTTTCACTTAAAAAAATAGGACAAAATGGTTTTAGAAACTTTAGTTAAAATAGAACATTTTCTGAGAAAGCTCAAGATGCTAGAACGGATCAAGGCAAAAAGTATCAAGGAATCCCTTTCATTAGAACTTTTCCATTGGATTCAAGTGCCACTCTAGTGGGAAACTGAAGGGGATAGGCTATGCTCAAGGCTATGACTATATAATTGCCACCCATTTATATAAATTAAGGTATCTTCTTGTATACCCTTCTTCTCTCCAACAAATGCCACTCTAGATGTTCATATCCAGTTGTTACCAGTTCTTCTTTCCTTCACTTATGTCAAAAACACCTCCCTTTCCTAGGTGGACCAAACTAAAATAACTAGCCTTAAACCCTTTCTGATTGGATTACACAATATATGGTAAGTTACACAATTTTCTGTAATAGAGCACCCAATTGGGATAGGATCTCTAAGCACCAAAAATATGAACACCTCTATTCTTCAACTTAATTTGAAAGTTATTTAATTTGAGAATGAAAAGTAATGAAACCACTCAAAATAAAATTGCTAGAGTCATGTCTCACAAATTTTTATGATAATTTACCTAAGAACTTTTGAGAGTTCTCCAAGAAGATCTTTCTTTTCCTTGGTGAGATCCCCCTGTGCCCGAAGTGCACTGATAACTCCAGCATATGCCTCCAATTCTAGAAGAAGAAAATTATTTTATCAAGATAGGCCTTTAATATTTTAATACTATGGCTATGTATAGTGAAATTTAAGGGGGGAAAAAAACTAAAAATTAACCAAATGCAAATATTGTTTTAAATTTCTTTCAAAATTTTTATCTAATAGCAGGTAAAACTGTGGCTTTTAAGTTTATATCATTTTGTTTTTCATTGCCTTACAGAAGTCATGTATGTAAATGTTTAGGTAGAAAAATCTAACAAATATTTTGTTTCACACATTATTACTGAAGAATATATAACTCAAATGCTACAGACAACTGGGAATAGGCTCCATGTGATGTAATAAAGCTGGTAAGAGAAGTATTTAGCATTATTGAAAGGCACTATTAAGAATTCAAACTATATTTCACCTCTCTTCTAGGTAGATGAGAGAACTGTGCAACTGAAAAAATACTGGAACAAAAGATTCCAGCTCCAACACTGCCGTATACTAGTTATGTGACCTTGAGCAAGTCCTTTCTCATCTCTGAACCTGTTCCTTAATTTAGAAAGGACTTTGTAGGTACCTTTCAGAAATAAGATCCTCTGCACCTATTAAAAACTATCATCAAAATGACTAATTAGGAAAAATTAAATGTTCTTATAGCAACCAGGACATTATATACTGAATCCTAATACCAGACAGCTTCATTTCACTCTTTCTGCAAAAAACGATCATTATGAAATAAAACTGTCAGTTCCTAGGATGGATTAAAATATAAAACCAAAAGTCCTCAATGGCCCCCAATGAACCTTGCATGCCTCACAAGTAGCTCCTGTGTACTACCTTTGTATATCTCCTCCCACACTAACTCTAAGCTCCACATATAATTTGCTTTGGCCAATCATAAGTTTGCTAAGCACTTGCACACTGGGCCTTGGTCTCTTGGAACTTTGAAATCACCAGGCTGTGAAGAAGGTCAGAATGAAAGGCCACAGGAAGAGAAAGGCTCAGCTAGTCCCCAGCTAAGCTACTAAATGAATACCTAAGAGACCTTAGACGAGGCCAGCAACCCACAGAATGGTAATAAATAATAAAATAGTTGTTGTTTTAAACCATTAACTATGAAACAGATATCTGATCAAAAGAGAATGGTAGGAAATAAATATCCAGAGTAGAGTTATCTTCATACTCAAATCCCTATTTGCTAATTTGCCATTTGCCAATGCCTGACACATAAGAAACATTCAATAAATATGAGTCAAATAATGAATATATGAATGCCCTCAGACTAGATACTACACCAATAATAAAAGAATAGTCTCATTTAGTTCATACTATTCACAGTTCTGAGTGTCTAAGGAAGTTTTATATAGAAGAGTGGGCTGGTACATTAAACAGAAATGTCTGGTGGAACTGATTACCCTAAGTATAAACATCCTGCATGTTCAATCTGTGCTGTGTTGGATACTATGTAGACATTTCACCCTATCTCTCTTGAAAGACAGAGCTCTACTGCTCTGAGTAGTAAAGGAAACACTTACTTCCAGGAAACATATTTAAGCTTTCATCAGACCCAGAATAGAGTTCAGAAAGGCACTAGGGATAACCAACAAAGAATTCACTATACTCTAAATGTTTATGCCCCCATTTATGAAATATCTTATTCAACAAATCAGTATTGAGTCCTAAAATAAACACCAAATGATGTGCTAAGTCCTGCCCTCAAGAAGTTAACTCTAGAATAGAGAGCTACAGTGAAACAAATCATCAGACAATTATGATACAGTTTACATACAGTGGTAAAGACACAGAGGAGAAACACATCATCTAGTCTGGATGCATAAGCTTTAATCAGAAAGAGAACTGTGCTGCAGGTAGGCAGGGGAGGGAAAATGCAAATGTACAAAAGGAATAGAGAGAGTAAAAGAACAAATAATGTTTCACATTGTTCTAGTAACTTCTAATAACGGTGACTATGTTTGAGAGTTTTACACTAAGGGAAGTAAAAATATGTCTGTATTTGCACAGTCACTAATTCAAACCAAGCTTCTAACTGAACATTACTACTATTACAAGGTACCATGGAGAATATTTATAGGGAAAAAAAAGTCTCTATCCTCAAGGTGATTAAAACCCAACAAGGCACTTAAAATATATATACATATAAATAACTATTATAAAGATTTTAGTTCACATATGTAAGGAAATAGAGAAAGATAAAAATGGAAATAGTTTCTGGCCACACTGAGAAAAGCTTCTAATTCCAATCTGAAAAGTTTTTTGACAGAACTCAGTAATTGATAGATTGTGGAAGTAATGGCAGAAGAAAAAGAGGTTTTTCAGCTTGCAAAATGTTTAGAAGAATGGCAAGGCCATAAAAAGAAATGGAAAGGCCAAAGAGGAAGTAGTTTGAGGAAAAAGAAGTTTACTTTTGACCTATGAATCTATGATGATCAAGACATTATTTTAAAGAAAATAAACTAAAGAAATATAACAAATATTTCTGACATTTCATGTCTCACTTCAAGTCTAAGAAGCCATATACAACATTAAGAGATGGCAACTTCACATACACAAAACTGTGACTCAGAACAGAGTTATCATAGCTACAGCAACCACAGCACTTCCTTTCACCAGAAGTTCACTTGTTGTAAAGAATCCCTACTAGCTTTCCAACCTCTTTTAAATTTTAATGTTCATTTTGATGGATATCCTTAGATCCTGACATATCTCACACTTAGTTGAATTTCTGGTATTATTTTTGGTGCCATTCTATTGTAGTGTTAACTCAATAACACCTAAGCAGAAAAAATAATAAACACATGGGAACAACCTAGAAAACAAAAGATTTGACAACCCATTCCATTTAAACAAATCAGCCATTCAATTTATACCATAGTCCATAAAGTTCCAAGTTATGAGTTACAGCTCAGGAATGATGATAAAAATAGGGCAAGGGAGAGACAGGACAAAGAAAAGCATTTAACTATCACCAATATCTTCAGTATTTCATAAAAATTCTCCATCCCAATTTCTTTATACTTAAGCAAAATCTAAGTGTTTAGCACCTTTTATTAGAATGATGTATGACTATTCTTAAAAGGACAAAGCTAATCCTTAAAATCTTCTAAGCTAATTTTTAAATATAGTACCTTCTCTAAACTTTGGATCTAGAGCTACTGTTGGAAGGCAATTCAAAGGTTTCATTGTTATGATAATAAGCCAACGGATGGGGAGGAAGTCTTTGGCAAATCACTATTAAGGCTCACATCCCAAAGGGGAGGGTCAATGAAGATGACACTACCATGTAGGATGGCCGTTTTCTTTTGTATAGAAGCAGCTCTCCAGCAGCATTAGCCACACAGCTCTGACCAAAATCAGGGATAAATTTAGACTTAAAGATTACCATTTTTATATTTAAACATAATCTCTTGATTCAAGGCAGGCCCCAAAAACCTAGAAACCTCAAATCCAATCTACTGTCTGCAATTTGTTCTGCAATTATTGCAGCTATGAAATAAATACAAGTCCAAATTTATAATCGGCAGCTATCAGGATACATTGTTATATTAATTACATGTAATTGTGTAGAAAACTAACTTCAGATTAGTACTAAAAGTCTGGATATAAGGTTAAAAAAAAAAGATAATGGAATGATTACCTCCCCCCTCCCAAAAGCAACTCTTGTACTTGCTAAAATACAATGCTAAGAAGTGATCTGAAATCCTCATAGTGGCCTGGGAGACATAAAAAGGGCACGCAGGGCCAGAGTAGCTATGATTCTATCTGACTTACACATAAAAATTCTCAACAAAAATTTCCTTTGAAGAAAAGATTCAGCTGCAAATAAATAAATAAATGTCTAAAAGCAGATGGTTACAACAGCATATACTCAGAAGTCAGGTACTGTGATAGGCCCTTTATATATACTGTTCATACACATAACAAACTAAGGGAGATATTACTATTCTTCTTTTACAAAAGTGTCAACGGATTTAGGAAGATTAAATAACTTGTCCTCAGTCTATGGGTCAACAGTAATAGTACCAAAACCCTAGGTCTGCCTGAATTTAAGGCCCAAACATTCCCCTTTAAAATCATAGCTATCTAAGCAATTCATAGCTTTTTCAAATATTTTTTCATTTATTATACTAGCCAGAAGCTACGGTAGTAAATTAGACAAGGTCCTTACAGTTTAAGGCAGCATTTCTTACCCAAGGATCTTCATTTGAACCACAGAACACAAAAAATAATTTGAATAATAACTATTTTTCTCAATTTTCCCAAGGATAGTACATAACTAATACCATTCTAGAGCACCAAGAGAAGTGAGTTCACTACATATAGTGGATACCTTAGCATTAGAGCTTAATTTTTTCCCCGAATGCTTTGAGAAAAGCTACTGTAAGGGAAAAGAAGCACTAAATATTATAAACATAAAGTATGTTTTATTACTGATAGGAAAACAAAATTTGGGAAAATAAGCATAGCTTTCATTAACTTAGAATTCAGAAATAGTATGTAATACACACATATACTCATGAAGGTTAAGAGTATAGTAAAGTGAAACTGAAATCATATTCCCTGGGTTCAAATACTAACTCAATTACTTACTATCAGTATTACCTTGGCTTCTAAGCTTCATCTATAAAATGGGGGCATAAAAAAAAAACAACACAAAAACCTACCTTTTAGGTTTGAATGAGGATTATATGAGATGTTCAATATAAAGGACTCAGAATAGCCAAGTAGCCCTCAGTAACTCTTAACTACTACTATTATTGTTATGATTCAAGCACCTACTATGTACAAGGCACTGTACTATGAACTGGGAAAAATGAATAAGATGGAAAGTGTACTTCCAAAGAGTTCCTGATGTAGCATGAGATATGACACCCATGCAAATAGCAATGACCCAAACAGAAAGGGAAAAGTATCATGGAAAAGTTAAAAACATTAGAAATTAAAATCATACCCAATTTTCGAAGAATCCTTTTGCATTCATCCCTGCTGAGATCCAAAAGGGTTGGCCACACAACAGGCATTGCTGCTTCAGTTTGGTAGCCCCAAAGAGCTTGTCCTCCCTACCAGAACAATAAAACAAAAAATCAAATTACCCAAGTACATTCAAAAAGCCACTCACCTGGAGGTCCATCCACAGGTTAAGAAGTAAAACCAATAAAATACTTCACAATCCTTTTTCACTACCACACTTTGTTTATAAACAATCGCTTGAGAGCTCACTATTCAAGCCTATGACAGTGAAAAGAGCACAGGCTTTAGAGTCAGATAGATACCTCCAGGTTCTAGTCCCAGCTTTTCAACTTACTGGTTATGTGACCTGGGGTAAATTAGCCTCTCTGGGCCTAAGTTTTACACATCTATAAAACAGCGGTAACAACACTCAATTTGTTATGAGCATTAAAGAACAGTTTATGTAAAGTTCTTTCACAGTGACTGGCATACAATTTAAAAATGTAAGGTGCTACTACCTGAGTAACCTTGGGCAAGTTACTTGATATATTGGCCTCCTCACTTATGAGTTACATGAGATAAAATATGTAAAGCTCCTAGCACATAACTTGGGTCAATGGAACTTTGTAAAGAACTCTCCGCTCAAGTCTTAACAATGAAATATGAATTTAGACCCTGTAGTCATTTAAACAACCAATAACCAAAAGTTTAGCTGCCCAGAAACGTACTTAGTACTGGGAATTCCCTAATCTAAAGGACAAAAAGACAACGCGCTGGGGTGCCTGCACAATACCTGCTTAGCACACAGCAGACCTGCTGTAAATATCTGCTAAATGGATAAACGAAGGATTGACGAGAGTGGAATGAATGAATAAATGAATGATCTCACTGTCTAGTCTACGAATCAGACATCGAACCGAAATAACTGCTACAAGTGAACTCCAACTCTACCCTCCCCCTACTTCCCATAGTCCTCTCAGCTCAGAACCAACCCAGAGCAAGGAGAACAGGACTGCGCGCCCCAGCCGGCAAGATGACATAAAGAAAAGGGGTGGGGAGGAGGGAGAAGGGGCAGAGCCAAAGGAATAAGCTCCCTCCACAAGCCAGTCCCCGCCTCCCGACAGGATCTTGGAGGCGGCTGGCGACCGCCCGGATCAGGCACCACGTCACGGCATCCCGACGCATCCCGCCAGCGGACCCCACCGCCGGGCCGCGTCGCATCGGAAACCCGAGCAGTAGTTGCCGGAGCCCGCCCGGGCAACCACGATCTCGTATAATCCTTCCCCACTCAAGTGTCAGGGAGGCAAGCCCGCCCCGCCCCCTCTCCAAACACGCACTCTCTTGCAGCACCACAACAAGAGCAGCCAGCCCAGGCTCCTCACCCGGGCCTCTCAGCACCGGTCGCAACGTCAAGCCCACGACCCAAGCCCCTCAGGGCCAGTAGCCGGTGTCAGGGGCCCCAGCCGGCATCCGCGCTTCGCTCCCTTCTCGGCAGAGAGGACAACAGAGAGAGAGAGTAGGCGCGCGGACAGCCAGCCATACGACCTGGACTCACTGGAAGCCTCCCAGAGCTGGTCGCCCGGGGTCCCACCACCAGGCCTGCCAGAGTCCCCCTCAGTCCCCCTCCGGCAGCCCTATGATCCCGTTAGGAAACAACGGAGGATGGGGCTGGGCGCCCAAAGCCCGGCTCCGAATGCTTGGCCCAGCGCGCCTCTAGTCTGGCTGGCCTGCCAGCTTTTCCCAGGACCCTGCCTGAGAGACACCCACCTGCCCGGCCTTTCGGGGCTCATCTAAAAGGCTCCTCCACCAAGACTAGGGGACAGCAGGAATTGGGTTTGTTTGCGGTGCCTCAGAAGGGGCAAGATGGCGACAAGTAGTAGAGCGCAGGCGCAGCCGCGCGCTGCCAGTCGGGAGGTGTAGTTCGCGTTTCCCGCCTTTCGGAGATCTGACACCAAAAGGCCTCCGTTCATCCTGTCCCTCTTTTCCTCTGCGTTATGAAAGAAAAAGACAGATGTCGCAGGGCATGCTGGGAGTTGTGGTCCGAAGCCAAACTCCAACCTCTTTCTCCCCGGGTTGGTTGTCGCGCACGCAAGGATGTCTGGGGTTGTAGTTTCCTTGGCTTCGCCTACATACCCTCCTCTCTCTGGCTTCGCGCGCCTCTCCTCTGCCTGCCGTCTCTCAGCGAATCGGCTGCGCTCTCTGCTACGTGTGGCGTCACACGTAGCGGCCAAAATGGCGTCGGTAGCTGGAGCCCAGAGTTTGCGGCGACTTTTATTCTACGGAGGTTGAGAACGTTAGGAGGACAGCTTTGTCCCTGAAGCGCCGTTGAAGATTAGGATCAAGTTCCCTCATAGTCATGGGGTCAATTATTAGCGGCATCCAGCCCCCAAGACGGCAATTCGAGCAGAGATAATCCACGCTACAAGAATTGACTCTGTGGACATCGCAGTTGCCAGTACCCGATCTGAAGGTTACGGAGTTGCAAGTAGAGAAGTGGGAACGCGAGCATTGACTGGGAATGGTAGTGCTATCTCGTGCCATAGCTGTTAAAGAAGGGGAAGGGATTTGTTTGAGGCCCTACGACATGGTAGGTTTACCCTCAGCTTTTGCTCTTATTTAATCACACAACAATTTTATGGAGAAGATCTGGTCGCCGTGATTTTAGATGAGAAAAGAAGCCCAAACTGTAGTTACTCGCAGCCGTAAAGTAGAAATCACTGCCTGATATTGTTGAAGATTCAATCAAGTTTTGTGGTTGTCTTCCCTTTTTAAATTTTGTACTTTTGGTAACATCGGATCCAGTCGAAATACTGAAGTCAGGACTTTTTAATATGCATTCTGTTATTACCAGTTTCCTTCTCGAAAAATGGGGATGTTGTGATACACAGCGTAGATAAAAGTTCTTTATAAGTTGTGAACCGCTATGCAAACGTGTGTGACTGTTCATGTTATTGAATGGACCTGTAGGTTAGGAAGAAAAAAATAACATTTAAGTTTCATACTACTATTTGTCCGTTAGCTAAAAATACTCTCTGAAGTCCAGGAAAAGTATTATTGTTGAAACCCAAACCTGCACCTTCAGAAAATTGTGAAATGGTTCATATTCATCTGCAGGCTCTCCCTGATGTTCCAGTGCATCCTGTTTTGAGGCCAATTGCTTAAGAACTCTTGGAAAGGCCAGGCACGGTGGCTCACATCTGTAATCCTAGCACTCTGGGAGGCCGAGGCGGGCAGATTGCTCGAGGTCAGGAGTTGGAAACCAGCCTGAGCAAGAGCGAGACCCTGTCTCTACTATAAATAGAAAGAAATTAATTGGCCAACTAATATATATATATATATATATAAATTAGCCGGGCATGGTGGCGCATGCCTGTAGTCCCAGCTGCTTGGGAGGCTGAGGCAGAAGGATTGCTTGAGCCAGGAGATTGAGGTTGCTGTGAGCTAGGCTGACGCCATGGCACTCACTCTAGCCTAGGCAACAAAGCGAGACTCTGTCTAAAAAAAAAAAAAAAAAAAAAAAACTAACCCTGACCATAAGAAGTAGCATGAGTGATGAATTATTATAGCTAATCCTTGTGCTTAGTAGGTGCCAAGTACTGTTCTAAGCATTTTACATATTAACTCAGTCCTTAGAACAATTTTATGAGGTAGAAACTTTTATTATCCCTAAATACAAAGGTAGCTGAGGCATAAGAAGGAGGTAAGATACCTTGCCTAAAGTCATACTTGAGTAAATGATAAGCCCAGGATTTAAACCTAAGCAGTTTAACTCTAGAGCTATGCTCTATCATTCTCAAACTTTAACGTGTAGTAGGAACCACTTGAGGATCTTCTTAAAATGCAAAATTTGATTGTATAGATCTGAAGTAAGGCCTGGATCCTATATTTCTTTTGTTGTTGTTGTTGAGACAGTGCCTCACTCTGTTGTCTGGGCTAGAGTGAATGTCATGGCGTCTGCCTAGCTCACAGCAACCTCAAACTCCTGGGCTCAAGTGATCCTCCTGCTTTAGCCTCCTGAGTAGCTGGGACTACAGGTGCGAGCCACCACATCTGGCTAATATTTGTTTGTTTGCTTCTATTTTTAGTTGACTAATTTTTTTCTATTTTTAGTAGAGATAGGGTCTCACTCTTGCTCAGGCTAGTCTCAAACTCCTGACCTCAAGCTATCCTGCCTCGGCCTCCCAGGCGTAAGCCACCTTGCCCAGCCTAGATCCTATATTTCTAACAGGTTCCCAAGTGATATTGATACTGCTGGCCACTACATACTACATCTTTCCTTTTCTCCTACCATGTTTCTTTTGCAGCCAGAAACTACCTTCCCCTCTGACTGCTTCATGGTCCCAAATGTTCCCAGCATTCTCTTCCTTAGAGATCAGACTCAAACTGTGCCCTCAAGAAGCTTATCCTGCCCCTACCTTTCCCTCTAGGAAAGACAAACATTCCCACACCATTTACTGCATACCTTGTGACAGAGCTCAGAACATTGAATTATGGCCATTTGTTTGGAAAGCTTCCTGACTAGACAATGAGCTCTCTAAGGAGAGGAACCAACCAGGTCTGTGCAGTCTAGTGCTAAGTGCATAATAGAAATAGCTAATACTTATCCAGGGCTTTCTATGTTCTACATGGTGTCACACACATTAACTTGTTTAATCCCTACATTAACCTTAAAGATATACTATTATCCTCATTTTATGGATGAAGAAACTAAGGCACATAGAGGTTAAATAGGTAACAACCTAGTAAGTAGCAGAGCCATGATTTCAAGTGAAGGCACTTTGGCTCCAGAAAATGTGTGGTAACTAAGATGAGAGCCTCCCTTACAGTTCCAAAGAAGAAAAACTAAGACTTAATATCCTACAAGCCATGAGGATAACTACCTCTAATCTCAGAAAATGTATGAGAGTACAATACCTGTCTCAGACTTTATTCCTCTATTAACTAAGTCTTAAAACAGAAACTTATTCAAGATGCCTACTATCCACCATTCTAATTTTGTAGTGCTGTATTGGAGAAGGTAGATCTTACCAATACCATGAAAGTATCTGTTAAACTCCAATGGTGTTATATAGGTAGGCAAATTGAAATGGATAAAACCTTAGAATTCATTTTTGCATGAAAAGAAAACCAAAGTCATGCAGGAATTTCATAGTGGGACTGGGACTAGAAACCAGCCCTTTTGACTTTTTTTTTGGTCTTGCTATTCCCATTTAGTATTAGGTTCACTTGGGAACCTGTTAGGAATATAGAATCCAGGTCTTACCCCAGATCTGCACAATCAAAATTTGCATTTTAACAAGATCCTCAACTGGTTCCTACTGAACATTAAAGTTTGAGAACCATTGTCCTAGCAGGGATGGGGAAACTGGCCTTCCGATTTCAAGATTGTTCTTTTTTAAGCACCAAAGGGGGCAACAACAGCTTCATCTTTCTGTGCTGCAGCCCTTTTAATAAAAGGATTTGTTCTGTAAAATTCAGTCAAAAGGCCACACTTAAGGACCTAGAAGGCCACATGTGGCCTTAAGGCCACAGGTTCTAGAGTCAGACTGCTTAGGTTTAAATCCTGGCTTTACCATTTTCTTACATGTGACTTTACTATACCACACTGCCTTAGATTCTTACCTTTAAAAAGTTTATTACCACATTGTGTGTTAAAAATGGGAATAGCAAGACCAAATATATATATGTGTATATGTATATACACACACACAAACACACACATCCATTAAATTCTGCAGTTTTTACTTACTAAATAGCTGACCTCATTGTTTTAGTGGGGTGATGGTAGGGACTCATCACCTCTGTGGAGTGAACCTTTTTACAAACCCTTTCCTCCAGAGGAACCTCTATGTACCCCTTCCACTATACTGCCACTGCTGTTAGAGTGAGCTTTCTAAAATTCAAAGCTCACCATGTCTGTTCCCTGCTTAAAACTTTACAGTGTCCAGCAGAATAAAGTTTCAGCTTTGTTATGAACAAACCCATGCTAGTGCAAAGAAAGTTTCTTACATATCTAACGTTTTCCTAGAGCATTGCTGCTTCCCTTTATCTTTTCTAAAATCTGGTATTCCCTAAAGTTCACTGCTTCCCTTGAAGTCTTTTCCAGAGGAGTTCTTTCTTCTCTCCCACCTTCAATATCTTAAGCTGGGAGTAAAAGCTAGCATTCTCCTAACTTGTCACTACAGCTTCTAGGCCAGCTACCCCAGCATTGAGGCTTTCAGCATCAAGCCATGCAACTTCCATTCCACCATCATTCCATCACTCCTAGGAAGAAGATTTTTGACGGTCTGATGTCATCAGCTTAGGTTGCCCCATTGTCCTCTCTGCCCTTGCACTCACCAGTATAAAAACCATTTACTGCCACTGCCATTCAACCACCCACTTCTGTGATCAAATCCTGCACTTTGTTCTCCTGAACTGTTCCAACTCTGAAATCAGTAACCAAGGCATTTCACATTCTAAACAAAACTTTCATTTATTCCAGATTTCTTACTCCTTTACCCTCACCAAACCTGCTCTTCAACTTCAATGAAATCTACAGCTTACATTTTCCCAACTCTGCAAGTCTATTCCCATTTGCTACATTTACTTTCCTTTCCTGGACCCCATAATCATTTATTTCATAGTAAGTCTCATCAGCACTTTCAATTTCATTCAACTGCCTCTGTCTTTCTACATCGACCCTAAAGCAGTCCTCAACCTTGGATTAATTTCTCTCCTATGTCCCTTCTAATTTTGATATGGCTATTAGTTAACTATTAGTGCATAAGAAATTATTCCAAACTTTAATGGCTTAAAACAAAAATAATATTTTTTAAAGTTTTATACAGTTTTTGCAGTTTCTGTTGAAATCAAGAGTGGCTTAGGCCAGGCTCGGTGGCTCATGCCTGTAATCCTAGCTCTCTGGGAGGCCGAGGCGGGCGGATTGCTCAAGGTTAGGAGTTCGAAACTAGCCAGAGCAAGAGCGAGACCCTGTCTCTACTATAAATAGCAAGAAATTAATTGGCCAACTAATATATCTAGAAAAAAATTAGCCAGGCATGGTGGTGCATGCCTGTAGTCCCAGCTACTCGGGAGGCTGAGGCAGTAGGATTGCTTGAGCCCAGGAGATTGAGGTTGCTGTGAGCTAGGCTGATGCCACGGCACTCACTCTAGCCTGGGCAACAAAGTGAGACTCTGTCTCAAAAAAAAAAAAAAAAAAGAGTGGCTTAGTTGGGTTGGCGTTTCCCAAGAGGTTGCAGTCATTTGAAGGCTGACTTCAAGGTAGCTTATGTGGTTGGCAAGTTAGTGAAGCAAGAGGTTTTAGTTTCTCACTATGTAGGTCTCCCTATAAGGCTTCTTGAGCATCTTCAGGACATGTAGCTGGCTTGTTCCAGAGCAAGTGATCAAAAAGAGAGCAATGCAGAAGCTACCATTTTGCAATGTGTAT